AAGTAAATATTTGATTCTGAACCTAATGATAAAAGTTGACATTTTAAGGTCTTGGCCTTCTATTTTCACTGTCCTACTACACAAAAATCCAAGAAAAACTAGGGAAATGCAATATTTGTAGTTTGATGAGAACTAACATGGGCTTTTTTATCCCATTCAAATACACCAGAGTCCTTCATAAAGGCAAAAAATAATTATTCTTTGCCTGGGCTCTTGCAAGATGTACAAGCACATTCAAATTTCATAACTTTTACTGTGCAGTTCAGAGATTAATACCAGTTTCTTTCATTATGTTTGATGCAAAGTCCCTAAGGAGTACCTGAAAAAACAAGAGTATGTGATCAAGATAATAAAATTAATTTCAAATATACAGAATTGTCAAGAGCTTAGTTATGTCTCATAGAAACCTCTGAAAAACAATCACTTTAGAGACCATCCAGAAGTATCAAACAGGAACCCCACCAGGGACAGGCACAGCACAAGCTGCAGACTGTGAAGGTATTAGAAAGGAAAGAACCAGTCATGCAGTGAGCTCTGCAAAGAGACTTTTGGTGGAAACTGGGTTTGACAAGCTCTAATAATGATCCTAAGAATAATTCCTCTCTACAAAGGCAGTGAATTAGTGGTGAAGCTGCTGGGCTTTTTTTTACAGATAAGCAATTGCAGCTACAGAGAGGCAATTACACAAAAATCCCATCTCATAGTTTTTGGAAGGTGTGAAAATTCTTCCATCACCAAAGCAACTGTTCAACCTCAGTACCAGAAGCACAACTAAGTCTATGAAATCTGAGTAGAGGACAAAAATCCTTGAGTACTTCCAAGTTCAGTTCTTTGGAGCAGCATGGCCAGGAACCTGTTGTTGGATGATGAGAGCCGGTGGTTGCACAGGCTGCTCCCAGCCTCCAGCCACCATGGGCAGAGGCTGAGTGATGTGGAGCAGCACAGGGAGTTTGTAAATACATCTGGGATAAGAGCTTTGTCCTGCTCCACAGCCTAGAGGGAGAAGGAATCTCACCTTCCAGAGACTCACAGCACATTTCTGAAACACTTTTTCTATTTTCTGTGTATTTCTGTACTTTTTGTGCACAGACAGCCAGATTTCATTTTTCATCCCTCAGTCATCACACATGAGGCAGATCCAGTAAGAATTTAAGCTCCCTTATTTCAGGCCATTTGCTTTAACCACAGGAAGATCCATCTCTGCTCTGCAAGAATTAGCCAGACCATGAGAACTGCATGATACAATCTATAAGACATATTTTTAATGATGTAACATTTTGGAAAAAATATTATGCAAGAATACTTCTAAAAGGAATTGTAATGTAATTTGAATGTGAGCTCTGCAGAAAGACAGATACAATTAATTCTTGTATTTTCTTAACTGCCTCCTTTCTCACTGCTGTCAGGAAGCCTGCGGGAAAATGTGATTTTATACCAATAGTGTCTGCATCTTGCTCTGTAATCTCACTGCTGTCAGGAAGCCTGCGGGAAAATTATACCAATAGTGTATGCATCTTGCTCTGTACCAGATATGACAGTCTGTATGCAATATGGCAATCTGGGAACTCTGGAGGAAATCACATCAATAGTTTGTGTCAAATTTCTATTTTACATTTCTATTAGGAAAAATTAATTTAGCATCCAAATCAATAGGAGTGTGTAGTACCATAAAACCTATCAGAAAAAAACTGAAAGTATGGAAAAGATGTAGGAAAAAAGACTGAAAATAGGAAGCTCTCCCTATAGAATGCAGTTAAACAGATCCCAGTGTCAATGGCTTAATGTTGAAACTACAGAATTACATTATCTTTGCTAATTCAAGCTTTCAACCATTGGAGCATGGTGGTAAATAAAAGCAGCACATTCCTCATCAGTTGCTGTCTTTAAATTAAGGTATGGTAGCTGTGTAAGGGTTGCATTGTATTAAGAAGTCACTGTTGGCTCAGTACTAAACACTGTCATGGCATGGAAGAGCCACTCTCAGTGCTAAAACCAGGAGGTCAGTAAAGCACTCAGAAACAGATTTCTGTTCTCACTTATGCTTCCTCAGAATAATTAAATAGAATAAAAGAAACAACAAATAGGAACATCATACAGAAGATCCATTTTTTCAAGTAGAATTCTACTTGAAAAAATGGATCCCATTATTCTTCAGCTTAAAAGTGAGGAGTTCCAGTGACAGACCAGTCAGCTTTTCTTTTAAAAGGGCAAGTTCAATCATTGCATAATCATGCCTTAATTGTATTTCTTTTTAACTTGATGATAAATGACAACGGATTTTAGGTAGTCTTTTCCATTGGACATTTGCTGACCTTTATCTGACTAGAGGAAAACTCCAGTGCCAACCTTTCTATCCAAATGTAACGCTGAAATGAGAACATGTAAAGCAAATCTGAATGTACAGTGAGTTAATCTTGGGCTTTTGCAGACTAACTTTGTTCTGCAGTTCTTCTGAACCCTGCTCGAAGGAGCAACTAAGGTATAGAAACAGGTCCACTCCAACAGCCAGAGACAACCTGCCTTACAGGCACAAACCCTGGCTGTATGCTAAGGGGCTGGGGAATTTTTGCAACACGTTTTGTACTTCATCCTCTCAGAATCCTTCTGCTGAACACTACTGAAAGCCACCACCAAGGATGCTTTACTCAGTGCTGGCTTCCTGTCTGACAAGAGGTTTTATCTTATCCCTACAGGATATTACATGTATTAGCCAAGTACTTTGCTAATTTTAATGTTCTTAAGTACTATTAATAAACCTTATCATGGAGATTCTGATGAAGAATTATGGACAACATGGCTTGCCAATGACTTCCCACATCCCATCATGGGAACACCTGAAATAGCCAGCAAAACATCTCAGTTACAACACAGGATGGGGTCATTTACAGATTTCCTGCAGCTGTAGCTGGCACAGTTCCCACCAAACAGTATTTTAAGGCCTCCTTTTGGCAGATTTTTCTGAGGAAAAACAAGAGCCAATGCACTGCTCATCTCTTCCAAGGAGTGGACCATTTGGAGGACAACACTGCCTGATATTGCCTGTGAAAATTAATCTTATAGTGTTTCAGTAGAGCTTCTCAAAGGCAAGTAGTCCACTCTGCTAAGATTGAGATTTAAATGAGGCATCTAAACAAGGCAGCAAGTAGCAGGCAATGGAAAAACCAAATGCTGAATGTTTCAGGTGCTCTGAGTAATCTTTTTTTTAAAAAAAAAACCACGAGAAATTGTAGAAGTTGAAGAAGAGTTCCAAATTTCTTAAAGTTTAGGTAAAATGCATCACACTGAATCAGCTATTCATTTCATCAAAATGCAAGTTAGGAGACAATATAATTAAAAATACAGATAAACTCATGGGATCCAGTACCAGGTATAAAAACATTCATTTCCCTGGAGAGAGCCTCTAAATCACCCAGAGGTATTACCAACAAAACTTAGAAATTATGGCCAGTGGCTGAATAACAGAAGTGATTGACCATTGTCCAAGCTACTAAAGGAAATGCAGGATTTTCCATTGTTTGGTGTTTCCCTGTCAAAACTTGGCGCCAAGCTGGAAGTCACGTGTTAGCCAGAGCTTACACCTTCGCTAAAAGTCAAACAAGATATTTAGGGAGGTCAAACTAGTTCCACTCATGCCTTCTACCCTTAAGTAGAGAGGTGGGTTTCCTCTCCTTTCCTCCGCCCTTAAGGAAAACAAGTATTTTAATCTATTTAGAGGCCCTTTTGGACATTCTTTAGCTACAGTTTTTCTCAATCGACCTAATCTTTTCCCATCAAGCTCCATGCTAATCCCATTTTGCTCCACTCCTTAAACTAATAAAAGATTAGGGTGACATTTCAGAAAGGGCATTGTATTAAGCAGCTTCTTTCCCATCTCAACTGATCACACAGTACAAAATGTAGTGAACAGACCATTAATCTTATGGTAATGAGGTGTCAGTCTGAATGGAGACCTCCTCCTTGATCAATATGAAGGGCGCAGGAATAATGAGGACATTGCTGCTCACCACCTCCAGCAGCTTAGCCAGGTCCCTAAACTGTGGTTGCAACAGCTCTTGTCACCGCACCGCTCGGCCCTTGACAACGGAGAGCAAGCATCCACACCCATCAACACCCCCTGTGCTGCCCACACATCATGAGCTTTTCCCTGTGTTCTAATTAGTAGCCTAAAACAAATAACTTCAGCTTTGCACTGACATGAAATCAATTAAGATTAGCAGCCACACACAGGGAAAATTTTCACATCTATCCAGCTGGTGAAAACTACTTGTTTCATTCCTACAGAGGACAAGCGATTGCTCTTCCTAGTGGCACGTGTGCACTGGCATTATCCAATTTGCATTTATACAGAGAGAATTTTCTCATTTTCCTAAACAAATCACCATTCCCCTTAAAGCTCTTCACAGCTACCGTGCTCCTCTGGAAGCATGGAAGACTCATGTTTCAAGTTTCACCAAGTGCTGAAAAAACTGTCAAAAAAATGTACAAGGAACACTCTGACTAGTGATATCTGATGACATCCTTTCACTTGTGCTAACAAGATGCTCTTCCTTAAAGAGTGAGGTGGGCTGGGAAAAGCAGCTTTTCTGCATCCACAATGCCATGAAACCACACCAAACCCAAAAGGGCTCCATGTGGTCACAACTGCATGTTTACACAGAACAAACTGGAGAAACAGCGCTTAAAAGTAATCCAAAGAGAGTTAACCCAGAGAGGGGGCTGCTAAGGGAGCAGCAGAAGACATAAGCAGCACATCTTACATCAGCACAACATATTTCTACAGTCACAGTAGGACATGGTATCACTGGTATTGCCAATAAATGCCTATTTTTAACCATGAAGCCTGTAGCTAAGTCTTTGTTCTGATTTTCTTATTTAACAACATACACAAAAGAGATACAGTGAAGTAAAGAAAAGGTTCTTCTCCCATTTGCATTTTAGAAAATTCCTACCTCTCTATCTGGTTTGGAAATCAGCTCTCTTGGTAAAGCTTAGCTCTTTACCTGTATACTGTGGTAGGTGGAGAGTTCAGCGTGTCGTAGATGAGCCTCACGTGTCCTTGGTACAACTCCAGAGCCAAAGGATCGTTGTCTCCTTTGTATAATAAGATCCCATTGTCCTTGTCTGTTGCTACCTATGAAACATTAATAACCAGACAAAGTTGCTTGAGAATTATTAAAAATTAATTAAACCTGTATTAAAATTAATACCAAAATAATATCTGCAATTAAAATATTATTTAATAAATCATATATATGAGCATCGACAAGAGCAAGGGCCATGAGACACAAAAAGGTCTCGGGGACATTGAGTGGACTCATACACAATCAGGTCTCCTTTGTTTCAGATGAGAACCAGTTTTCAGGAGGTGAAAGGTGCAATTTATTTGATCCCTGTCAATAGACTGTTGCTGTATTTTTGGTGACAGATGAATTTATTTCTCAGCTACTACCCTAGCTTGAAGTGGAGGTTTAGAAAATCAACTCTGGCAGTAGCAGGAGTGTGTCACAATAACAAATAAACAAATTTCAGCAGGTGCTGATCTGTTCACAGACTTTCTATGATCACAAAGACGGAAAAAAGGATCTGTCCTCAGATTTAGCATAAGCATGAATTCTTCACTCAATCCAAGTTACTAGCAAGTTATGCTGGTTTCAGATGGGACATTTAGAGGGCCAGGAAGAATAGAGTAGCCCTTGTCCCTCTTGCTTTGATGTACGTGAAGGAAAAAAAAATTCTTGTACACTGAATCAAAAAACAAGGACTCCACTTCCCCAGTCTCCAGCTCTCAAAATATGACAAAAGAAGGGGGAGAAACAAAAAAAAAAAAAAAAGAGACAAGATGGAATTTTTTGATACAACCTGCCTGACATTTTCACAGTACATATTTCTTGAGATTTCTTGCTTAGTAATCAATTCACTAGTGATTAATTAATGGATGCAAGAATAATATTCAGTTTGGGAAACAAGAAGTGAGAACATCATCAGCATGTGCTTTCTGTAATAATCCCTTTTATTCTTCAAGCTATGGCTAATGTAACTTGTTTTGTACACTTGAAAAGGCAATGTCCAGATTTTCAGCTTTAAAGTTGACCTACAGTATTTGGAACCTTTGGGAGCCATATTTTAGAGTGTCCATATTTTAGAATCTCTTGTGATAGTAAGCAAAGGGAGATTTTTAAGAAAAACTGGAGTTTCAAACATATATGAAGAAAGAAAAGGTAAATTTTCAAGAACAGATCAATACTAATTACAGATTTTTTTCATTAAAATAAACTTTGCAGGAACCATCCTTGAAAAATCTATCCCTACCATGGAAATTCAGTTCTGTTTCCCATGTCTTGACATTGGTATGTTAATTACAACCAAACTGCAACAAGCAAACCCTCACTCCTCTGGCACAACTTGAGGCCATTTACTCTTGTTCTATCCCTTGTTACTTTGGACACCAACTCCCACCTTGCTACAACCAAATTTTCAGGGTGAATCTAGCACAGAAACAGCCCAGATTGACAATCAGTGGCCTAAGGATGAGACGTATCATGTCATGTATGTGCTCCACACACCTCTTCATTAGAAAACATATAAAGCTAGAAATTATTCCCTCATTTACGTTGGGACATTAAGTGGAACAAAAATAATAAAAAAAATCTGTTAGGTCAGTTTAGTGTGAATAAAAATAATAAAAATAATCTTAATAATAATTTGACCCACAACCACAAAGATTACAATAGTAGCATGGCACCTTGGATACCTATTTTCCATTGCCTTCTGAACCTTAGACCTTAAGCCAACTTTAGGTGTAACAACAGGACTGTAAAACAAATCCTATGCCTATTATCTACTTAATGTGCACAGTAAAAGAATAAGCAAAATATTGCCTGGAAAGGCCAGATGAGCTTTAGAGATGCCTCTTAAAAAGCATTTTAAGATTAAGCATTCATTTCTCCAAGATTAAATACTATGCTGTGAATTGGTGAGAAGACAGGGAGGTTTCCTGAATTGTTTCTAGTCATGTGGCCAGTGTCAGAATAAGAGAGTGGCGAGACTCTGGAGGCAGGATTTGTGTCCACAATGGTACAGTGGTGCCTTAGTTGCTCCTTAACTTTTCAATAATTTTAGAACAGACAGCTGCTAACTTTGTCAGCACCTTGGCCAGTAGACTCTGTTCCTTCAGAATGAATATATGTATATATGTTCATGTATACGTAATGTTGCTTAGAAGAGCACTGGGCTGGCAACTGATGTTGTGTGTGACATACCTGGAGGGAGATGTTTGCCTGGGAGCGAATTTTGGCTGATGGCAGCTCCACATAGGAATCCTTCCCAACAAAGTTGACTGTGATGAGCTTCTCGCACTTCTGCCCAGCAAAGCCAGCAAGGCAGCGGCAGACGGGCTCCTGGTGCGCCACGATGCACTGGGCCCCGTTCTGGCACTCGTAGTTATCACATGGGCTTGTCTGGAGCAGAACCATGGGTGGAGGAGTTTCACAGAAAAGTCCACTGTAGAAGGCAAAGGAAATAAAAAGCGGACTCAATTATCACCAGTTTTTTAAGGATAGATCTGGAGAACAGGTGTTATGAGGAGAGGAAGCTGAGGCTGTTCAGCCTAGAGAAGAGAAGGCTGAGGGGAGACCTCATTGCTCTCTACAACTACCTGAACTTCGTAGAACTTTGTGAGAACTTTGTAGAGTAAGGATGATGGTTGGACTTGGTGATCTCATGGGTCTTTTCCAACCTGAATAGTTCTATGATTCTATGATTCTGAAAGGAGGTTGTACTGATTTGGGTGTTGGCCTCTTCTCCCTAGTGACTAGTGATAGGAGAAGAGGGAATGGGGTCACGTTGTTCCAGGAGAGGTTCAGATTGGGTGTTAGGAAAAATTTATTCACTGAAAGAGTGGTGAGGCAGTGAAACAGGCAAGGTGGTGGGGACACTGTCCCTGGGGGTGTTAAAAAAAACAGGTAGATATGGTGCTTAGAGCAATGGTTTAGTGGTCACAAGGGTGTAGGGATGATGGTTGGACTTGATGATCTTGATTCCAACCTCAAGGAATCAGGAATTCTGTGGTACATTTTCAGGTGCTGACATTACACTGCTGTGGTATGGTGACTCTGAGACTCATGTATCATGAGCCTGTGTGTGAAAGCTAGATAGCATAGACCTGTACAGAAATTCCCATGCTGGGTCTGAAGGAGCCAGTTCAAATACTGAAAGCAATTTGTACTGCACTTTGCACTGGTTATTTACCTCTCTAGGGTACAGCAGTCTGTCTAAAATAACTTCCATCCCAGACTGCTGTGCAGAGGTTCCCAGGAAAAACTGGGAGCCATTTAAGCCTAAACCTGAGATTTCCTGATCTTAGGCTTTGTGACTTGAGTCCACCTCTGGTGTTGTAAGTGGTAAGCAAGGAAAAAAACCTTCTATTTGTAGTGTTTTTTACAGACACTTCACTTGATTTACTGTGTATCAGAGTGTATCATCAACAGATGGGCAACTGCTAAAAGGTCTCAGAGCAATGCACTGATACCATATGATCTGCTGGGCAGCTTCCCTGAATTGGATGTTGCTAACATCAGGATCATCAGCTTTATTTTAGCTGGGTATGTGGTTGGCAATGTCACAGATCAGAGAAATGCAAAGGAAACTCTTCCAGAGTCAGAGGTAGCTGAAAACTAAGTACCAGATCTGAGTAACTGTAACCTCAAATACAATTCAGGTTTGTAGGAAAGTGCTGTGGTTCAATCTTAAATATATGAGAAGCTGAGCAAAACCCACATGTAGGAACCTCTGAGGCTTGGGCCACATCTCCCAGGAGCAGCAATGGCTCAATCCCAGGCTGCCCTCCTGGATTCAGCATGGCTACGTGCTTCACAGGTTCTCTCTGGAATGACTCAGCTACACTGAAATATCAACACCAGCACAGAAGGAGCAGGGGAAAGGGAGAAAGTGCAAACAGCTGCCACCGTCTTTCATAGTTATGTGTCAGACTAAACTGCAAAAGGTAAATGAAAAATCTCTGCCCAGTACACCCACTGGGGTTGTGCAATCAGCTGGTGCTGCCAAGGGACTGGGCCAGGCTCTCTGGCTGGCTGCAAACTGTATGCCCTCCACTTACCCCTTACATTTCTCATTACAACCACTGTCCAAACCCAACAAATCCTTTTTGCACTGATGAGAGAAACTGAATCTCTTTGCGTTAGGTTCTGTGACTGCTTGAAAATGCATAGACAGTAGAATGATGTAAAATGGGTAGCTGGTGAGTGGGGAGCGTGCGTGAGGCTGTGCTGCGGGGAACGCCTTGGGGAGCAGCCAGGGCTGTGGGCTCAGGCTGCTGCACCGTCTCTGTTACACAGCCTTTGTCAGCACGGGGGCAGAGGGCTTCCCAGGAGAGGATTGTGGCAGACCCATTCATGCAGTGAATAACCATCAACCTACTCCTGGAACAATGAAATCCCACTTGTCCCACTAAGAATTTCCTGCCATTCGGGGAGCACTTTGTGAAGTAATAGCACTTTTATAAAAACAAAGCAAACAAAAAAAAAAAAAAAAAAAAAAAGCCAAACTCCTCACTCCTCTCCAGTAAAGAAGGTGAACCTTGGAAGCTTGGTGGATTTCTAGGCAACTTTCCTGGATACAATTAGAACAGAAACCCAAACTACTTACCCTACAGTAAATAGTACTGATACAAGACGTGCAAGAACAGCAAATAAAACAGACACAACACGCTCAAGACCAATCTTGCTTAGCCACAGAGCCTGCTGCCTCTGTACCAGAAAGAAACTGAGATGGTTGTTTTGCTTTTTACATTTTCTTATGTGAAATTTTGCACTGAGAACCATGGCTCTCTATCTTTAGTGCTGTGTGGAATAAGAGCCAACCCGCTTCCGGCATCTGTTCTCCAAAATACACCACTCTGCTGTACTGTCTCTGGGAAGCATGAAAGAGAGGGAAATACACAACAAAATAAGGATGGGCTAAACCTGGAACTGCATCACTGGAATCGCTCTGCTTTTCCATCATGTCTCAGAGAGGAGACACAGGGTTTTACATTACTGCTTTTTACAAAAGGTGAAGAGTGCCATGAAAGACACAAACAATTGGAATTTGCCTCTGGAAGAAAATCAGAAAAGCTCTCCTTTCCCCACAGCCTCTATACAGCATGGAACACCCTAACCAGCCTCTGAACTTTGCCCAAGTCTGTATGTTTGACTCATACATGGTGACGTGGATATGGCAAGCAAAAATTTGTTCTACAGGAAAAAGTACGAGGAAGATGAAAATCAGTGCTGAGGATTTCCAAGGCCCCAAGCACAGTGCTGCTCTGGCTCCTCACAGTTGCCTCATACACACACCCTGCAGGGACTGCTCTGCTGTCACCTGGGGCTGGCTGTGCTTGTGTACACCAATACACAGATGGTTCCTTCTTAGCCAGAATCACCTCTTGGTACTTTTCAGGATAAATAGCATTTCAACATTGCATTGCTCTAAACTTCTCTTATTCACCACAAGGTCAGAGTGACATTTCCCAGCCAGCCTCCCCATGCCCATCCCATTGGTGCCCCACTTCTTGAGGGGGCAGGGAGCTGTGGTTAGCAGGGATGCCTTATCTCCCCTTCCTGCCTAGGGCACTCTTGGTCCTGTAAGTGGGGCAGCTAATAACCATCAGCAAAGGGTTCAGGGTGGGGAAGCACATCATCCCCACCAGCCAGGTGGTAAATACCATCTCCCAGAAGAACATAATCTTGCACAGGGACAAGTCAATCTATTAATCTAAACAAACATATCTCAAAAGTGTAATCTGGCAGGCAAGACTGCTGGCAATCAATAAACCCCATTTACTTTGCTCCAAGGAGTATTTGGAGGAGATGTACAGGGTCAGCACCATGGCAGTAGAAATGGGAGCATGGCAGTACAGTGTGGGGGAATAACTGCATAGGGGAAATGGTTGCCTTTGCTCAATCTGGTATGTTTCTTAAAGTAAATTTGTTCTTGGGAACATTTATTTGTGAAGAGACTAAGAGTCTTTGCCGTTCCTGAGCAAGACTCTGCTGCAGCTTCTTGGCAGAGCCCTGCAGGTCACCCATTCCCAGAGGGTGGCCATTGCACCTTGGGGGGCATAGCACCACTCAGCAAGAGATGGTTTGGATTCCCCTTTCCAAGAAAACAAGGGAATGTTAAAAACCAGCAACAACCTCATGGGAAAATAGATACAGAGAAAGCAATTCTTGCCGATTTAAGTTAGTTACTGTAGTAGCCTACGAGCTCAGCATTCAGAGCCAGCCAGAGCTGATGAGCTGAGAACACACCAGTGCCATATCCTCATTGCTAGCCAGGCACTGAAGTGGACTCTCTGGCTGGAGCACTTTCCTATTCAAAACCTGGTTTCACTTAGTGTGTGATCTCTCTCTCCAATGCAGGACTTTATGGCTGGCTGACAGAGACATCAGGAGAGCCAACAATAGGATCAAACTAGGGTTGACCCCACAGATAGCTCTCACCCCTGGCCTGATGTCAGGTGTAATTTGTTTTCCAGAGGTGACTAGTAGAATAGAGCATTGCTAACCCAGCCCATTAACTTTGTTCTAGCTAATGACAATCATCTTGTTTTGTCTGTGAGCAACAACTAGAAAGCAGAAGGAAAGGCAGTGTATGTAATTCTAATTTCATGGAAGTTAAAAATAATAATAATAAAAAGCCATGCGACTCACAACAGCATCCACTAACAGAAAGCAAATGTTGCAAGAAGCCAGCTTGTCTGTGCCTGCTGCTGCTCTGAAAGATTCTCTGTGCTCCCAGTGTGGCTTCTGCACAACCCTTCCTTCTTGTGAAACCCCACCAGCTGGTGGCTTCAGAAATGCAGCTATGCTACTACTGTCATCTAGAAGTTAGATTAGCAACCATATCTGTCAAGGCCTTTTTATTTTAGAATATTTTTGAAAATATATTTTTAGAAATAAGTAATACTATTTATTTCCCCAGCAGTGGAATGTGGAGCACAGCCTGACTTGCATAGCTTCGCCAAGTCCATTCTGCCTGGTACAATCTCATTTATTTAAATAATCACTGCTGAGTTTCTTGCAGCACACTATCCCAGCAGGCAATCCTGAAGCATCTACACGATGGAGGAACAGTGCTTTGCATCAAGCTCAGCAGCCTTCATATGTGCTTTGCCACTACAGCAACATTTATCAGGACAACACCACTATGAGGCTGATTGCTAGAGGGAAGGTTTGATAAGTCAGGTTCCATCCAATGGGGGTCACAAATTCTCAAATGTACTTTTAGCTGTAGGGGGCAAATGAATGTTATTTTGGTAAGAAAACAATGAAAACTTTTCAGGAAGGAAGTGTATTATGTAATTGCAAAATGTTGCTGAGTGGTAAGGAAAGGTGCTGCATGGAGCACAACTACACATGAGCAGTGACTAGGAAATGCCAAGACAGGAACACAGGTGTGTGCACATTTGCACGATCACTGTCTGGTGCTGCCATCAGAGGTGTGCCATGGTGCAGATGAGGCACTACATCCCGAAGAACTGCCAGAGTGCCATTTGTTCAATTTATAAGGATGTAAGTTGTACCATCCTCATAAATGTGTGACTCAGGTGCCTTTGGTGTACAGCATGGTGACAACCTTAACATCAATACAGGTTTGTTACAACAACTGGGAGGTCACTGCATACTCACTGCTGGGAAATGATTCTTGATACTTTGCCAAAAAACCTTTATTAATCATAATCTCAGGGCTCCTAGTCACCTTTGCCAGACCACTCTTTTCATCAACACTTGCATTCTTCCAATATTTGCAAAGTCATCTCCTTGCTGCACAGCGCAGCACCTGAGGCACTCTCCCTCAACACTTCAGTCTGTAACCCTGAACATCAGAAGGCTGAACTCTGTCAATCACCAGCTTTGCAGCTGCAATCTTAACAGGGAGAAAAAATATCAGAACCCCCTTCGCAGCAGCAGGCCTTTAAACTACAAAAGGCTGGAGTCATGGGGAGAATAACAAGCAGATAATATTTTAATCCTGAAATCAAACAAGATCAGGGCCTGTTCTGCATGGAGAACACAAAGGGCTTCAGCTTGCTCTCTGCCTTGGCAGAGGCAGTCTGTTAGTGCCCACTGGGGATGTTTTTCTCCTAAAAAGCACTTGCTGTCTTACATCTTGCATAGGAAATTATTTAGGGAGGTGGCATGGACTAGTGCAAAAGAAACCAACCAACCAACCAACAAAACCAACAAACAGGAGACCTCAAATTAATCTTGGATCTGATGTTGACAGGCAGCAGGTTTGCTGTGCTCACCCAAGTCTTCAAGTGGGCTTTGGGCTAGAGTTTTGGAGCTTTGTGTAGAAAGATGTTGCCTCTTCTTGGCGGACTTCTAGTGGAATTAAACTTCCTCATTTGAGAGAGGGAGCAGGGCAAGATGTTTCAGGTTCTGCTCTCCAAGTCCATGGTGTGACATCAGCCAACCTGGGGAACTGCTCGAATTGCCAGTAGAGCTGGTTGGTACACAGAGAGGAACCCAGACCAGTGTCCCACCTACCACTGCTGAGTCACAACTCCAAATATCGCTACCAAACACAGCGACTCTGCCTCCTGTCAGAAAAACCTCACATTCATCACTGCCTAGTACTGATATTCCTGAAAAATCAGGGGACCAACAGCAAAAGTCTCCCAGTCAGTACCATCTGGTGACAGGCTTGAGTCACCCTTGACTCCAGGTATGGCTTTGCAATCCTATTTCTCAGCTCTAACAGATATCGTTGGGCTTCCTCTGTGGGACAACCACTTGCTACCCTTGCCAATTTGCAAGATCCATGAGAACATCAAAGGAATTGAAGCAGAGAATGAAACATGGAGAAAAGGGTATAAAGTGGAAATTCAGAGGATATCTGATATCCTGTAAATAACAAGTCTGATTCTGTGAAACCACGGGCTGACATCATGTTATATATCAATGCCTATTCAGGAAAGCCTGTCTGCTTTGTAATAAAAATGTGTGTTGAGAGGGAAAAAAACCCCAAACCTGCAAGGATGAAAGAAAGAAGAGTGATATCCGTTGCAGATACAAAGCAGAGAAAATGATATATAAGTGTTCATGCAATTTCTGCTTTGACTGATCTTTTCAGGTACTCCTTCTTTGTCTCATGTGTGTATTTTAAACACAGAAAAGGTTTAGCTGGAAGGAAGCCAGTATCCAGCCCCAGGCAATGATTAGTGAATCCATTTGGAGCAGCACACTTATCTTTGACAGACAGTGAGATTTCCAGGAGTCAGATATATTGGCAGCTGTCAGAATCAGAGACTGGAAATGTATTGCCCAAATCACACTGAGCCCATCTACCAAGAGGCACAGAGACACTGGCATGAAATCTTCAGACTTGTGTTTTCTTGCATCCAGGTGTGAGGGTTCATATATGCAATTTTATTAGCCTTTGCTCACTCTGGCATACACGGAGTTTACTTCCATATCATTTATCTAAGGGCATTTCCTCGCGTTTTACCAGGCAGGGCTGGTGCAGGCAGGCAGGCAAACAGCACAAGGCAAACTGCTGTTTTCAAAACAAGAATTGTGAATCCCCTGCACTCAGTTAACTCATTAAGGCCCACTTTAGCCACAACGTTTGAAGCACAGAGTGTAGGATCATGTAGGATTGACAGATTGATACTGTATTTAGAGGCTGATTAGCTCTGAGGATGAAAACAATTAAAGAAAGGTGCTCCAACACTGTGTACAGAAGACAGCCTGGAGAGGAGCTGACTGTCATGTACCTGAAGCCCTGAGGACAGATGCAGGTGTAGCCATTGACGGCATCGACGCAGGCAGCTCCATGGCGACATTTATGGCCCACACAGTCGTCATCATCTGTTTCACAGTGTTTTCCACTGTAACCTGGCAAGCACTCACATCTGAAACACAGAGATCGCTGTTAATAGCTTGTTTCAACATTCCCAACAATAGCACACACAGGCAGCTGAGCACCAATCTGATTTGAGATGGAAAGGTGTTAGCAATTATTCCTGGAAGCATCAAGCACAATTCCTGCCATCAGAAGTGCTCAAGTCCCTGCTGTCTGTCTGCAGCTGAGCTTCTGCAATCTGCTTAACTTCAAGCCGAGCAAAGCAATACCAAACTGCTGCTTTTCCTCAGTCAAGTTGGTGGAGAAGGGTGATCAGATAGTGGCTTCTCCATTATGCTAAAGATGACAACATCTTCCCTAGCCTTACAGACTCAGAGGGCAATATTCTGGAAGCACAGTTGCTCTGATGTCTCAGACTACGTCATTGCCAATGTCTGCACCAAGTGTCTGAAATTGGCCCTGGGCAGCTACCCAGAGCACAGAAAGGTTCCACCTTCTAAATGGAAGCAATCTGCAAGCAACATATACAAATCAGCAAATTTAAAGAAAAAGTCCATCAGTTTTGAGACCACCACCTGTTTGCCATTAATTTGTAAAGCACAACAAACTTTGCTGCAACTACAGCAGTTGCCTTGGAAGCCTGTCCTTCCCTGTGGTGACACTCAGGAGAAGCATGTACCTGCTGCTATGGGGTAACACCATTCATAGGAGCAACATAACCAAGTGCCCCCAAAACTGGAGATGCTGGTGTTTTATTTTTTACGATAGTCAAGTTTGTGGTACACAGGCTGCATCAGCATTTCTATTATAAACCCTGTAGAAGTTTATAACCTGACAATAGAAAATGCATCCCAAAGTCTCTGACTTGGAACAGATCTTTTGGGATTGCTGAACAGCCTCTTTTTGTATCTATAGTGTAGACAATGTTTAGTCATGAACACGGTTTAGTCCATAAAACACGTTTTACTCCTCCCAGCTGGATGTTACTGCACATCTGGAAAACAAAAGGCGATCACTTAAACCAAAACAAGGGAAAAGCCACAGTTAACTTCAGCAATAAAAAAGAGGCCTGTGCTCTTGCTGGAGCCCCTTGTCTGGACACACTGCTTGTCACCAAGAGGTGGAAGAGACAGCACAAAGTCAAGGGAGACAGCATCAGGTGAGAAACAACTGCTCCACCTATTCTGCTGGCCTCCTTCTCCCTGCCAGCAGCCTGGTGGGGTAAGTTCAGGAGGAGGTTCCTTGTGGAAAACCTCTTCAGAGGAACTGGACACATGGCAGCTGATGAAGAAAGACACTTCCACTTTCCAGGCAGCAGTCATTGTGCTGAATCTGGTTTCAAGGGACAGTGCATTTTAGCTCCTGGCCTCTTGTCAGCTCATCAGTGCAAAGCAGCAAGTTGGAGAAAACTTTCCAGGGTGCAATGGTGGGTCCTGTGTTTGCTGGTGACCAGTGAATGGCTGCCACAGCACCAAAACTTCAGCAGCCATCTAGCTGAAGTACTGAGAAGAATGTGACCTTCAGTCTCCATTTCAAAACATGGCTTTTGACTGGCTAAAAAGGAGGAAATAGGGCAAAAACCAATTAACCCCAGGACTGTAGGATGGATAACATTATGTAGATGCATAAACTTTCTTTCTCCATCCTCCCTAGAGGAAAGGCCTCCATCATGACCCTGTGCAGCCACAGGATGGTTGACGTTTGAGCTCTGCATGTCTGAATTGCTTTTTTACACCTTGGTGGCTCAGGGAATACTTTGCTTAACATAACCGAGAGGACAAAACAGAGCAAAAAAGCAAAAACTGTTCCTTCCCCAAACCTTAAGAAGTGAGCAACATTTTTTTGGCAACACTTTAGTCACACCTGCAAGAAAATATTGTCAATCAAAATACTTTGTGGGGGGAATTGGCAGCAATTAATCCTGTTGCTTTTTATTGATCCCTGCAGTCCTAATATAAAGTGATGTAATAATGAACGATGTGCAGTTCCTTATTCAGGGCTGCCATGCATCAATTTTATGATGTGTATTGGCTATCTCAGTAATGACAGAACCACCACTTTTCTCTTCAGGGCTGCATTAAATCAGCATTTTAAGCTGTCAGGTAATAATTCCAAGCTTTAGAATAATAAAGTATATTTATACCATGCTCCAACATCAATACAGTGAATGGAAAAACACGCTCCTTTCCTGGTTATTTTTTAGAAGTAATTTAATTGTGTTAAATGGTATTTTAAATTATTTTTATTTTTATTTTGTTTTCTGGCATACAGAAACCTAGTCCTCTTTTCTAGTAACAGCACAATAAAGACGTGGAGGCTGGAAGTGAGGAAAGCCACCTGCAATTTAACTTAGAAAGCAGAGAGCTCTGTGCCGCCAAGCACACACTGAAATAGTCCAGGTTTCTTCCAAGCTTGGCTTTACCTTTAGAAACATGGAATTCCTTTTGAGGCAGTCATCTCAGCTCTTAGCGTCTCCCATCTGGGTTGAAGCTGCCAAAAAATGCATGCCTGCAATGCTGCAGGTGAGAAACTCAGCCACACCCGTGCCTCACCCAGCCTCCTCCTTGAAACCCAAGGTCTCCCCCAGAAGGGAACTATGGCACATTAGCTCCATCCCTATCCCACATCGTGCCAGCAAGAGACTGAGTATCAGAAAAAGTATGACAAATAAAGGAGGAAGCAAAGAAACTTTTACATTCAGGTCCTGGTAAAAGAGTAATGTAGGTGATTAGAACAGTTATCTCATTTCCCAGTGATCATCTGACACCAGCACAGTTGAAATCCTGTTTCCTGCTACAGCCTTGTAGTGATGGCAACGTTCCCAGTATCAGAGAGAGTCTTAAAACTTGTCTAGTGGTATTTAAAATGCTGGCCTGTCTGAGGGGATTTGCATCTGCATGCACTCAATGTCCATTGTATTAAAGCTGTGAATCATGGCTTCTATTGCAGGGCCAGAATGGACTTTCCCTCCCAATATCAGTAAATAACTTGGCTTCCTATTTTTTTTAATATTTTTTTTTCCTATCTTTCCCATCTTTTCTCCCTCTGCAGAGTTGCAGACTGACTAGAGCTGAAGGTAGGACAGACTGACTCGTGTCCTTGCTGCTATGATACCCTTCAGTGGTGTGTCCTACTCACATGCCCAGGGCACAAACCTGACAGGTGGATGGTCAGCTCAGGAACAACCCTGAATCCTGCCATCAATATTCCCTGCCTCTGTGAGGAGAGCAAAGGGCTGGTGCCTGACTTGTTCTGCTTGTGGCATTATACTGCACCTTTATGTGCTAAATGTGTGGCACATTGTGGGTCAGGAGCTCAAACTGCTCAGGGGATCAGCAACAGCCCAGGACTGGAGGTTTTTATTTTCAGTGAGGAGACAGCAGGAACCGCACTTCACTGCAAAAGCTGCTGAGGGTTCTCAGCCCATTTCTGAATGCTTTGGTGCAACTGAAGTGTCAAAGAAAAAGCAATACTTGGACAATTCGACATTTAAGCCTGGGCAGGTCCTTCATCTCTCACGTTTGGCCTGATAGGAAGCAAAATGGGACCGAAGAAGTAAAGGAATTCCTTATATTTGTGTAACATTCTATGAATAGTGAGAAGAATAACACAACAAACAGTAGTAGAAAATAATGACAAGTAGTTATTTATACTCCTCTTGAGGGTTGATGGCCCCACTGTGAAGAACACTTTTCTAGCAAACAAGCAAGAAAAAGTGTCTTATTTACTCAAATTATTTTGTGTTGCGAATAGAAAAATACTTCCAGCAAGGATAAAACCATTCAGGATCACAGCTGTCTTCATCTCTTCATACATCTAGTAACAGTAGGTAATTTGAGTTACAAGCCTTTGCCTCGTAACATGATGTAGCTACTGGATTAGCTGAATGATGGATTAACTAGGAATGAAAGCTGGAAAGAACATCAGGGACTATTTATGTACCAGTACACACCTCCTTATCCAGTCCCTGTGCATCGTTTCAGGAACTGTCCTAATAATTTAATGGTTTCATTTTTTTGCAAGAGTTGGAAACTTTCTGTCTGGAGGTTTCTTATCCCACAGAAAGGCTTGAGTGGTGCAGACTGACTGTCTAGTACAGATTCAGCTGTCCTCGAGACAGCCAGCTTCTCTAAAATTTTGGTTCCTTTTCTTCTAACTGTCCTGAAATGTACTGTGTATTAGTTTACACTATTCTGACATGATGGTTGCTTCAAAGGACACAATCTGACCCTAACTGCAGGTTATTAGGAAGACCAAAGTGTGCTACCATCTCTCCCCTGCGACTTGCTGGGTGTGCTGGGTGAGGGAGTCCGTCACCAGCCCCCAGCACTCTCTCCCAGGAGGGAGCTGGGGAGTCCCTAGGATTGCATTATGCGTGTGAAAACAGCCTTAGTGGAAAGTGCAGAATGCATCTCACAGCTGCACAAAACTCTCTTGAATTTGTCCTCCTTTCTTACTTTTTTGATTCAAAGATCTTTCCTTGACCTGCTTTCCATAGACCTTGACTTTTTAATTGATTGTTTCTCTTTGCTAAACTGCTCTGAAATTCCCTCTTCAGACAAGTGAATGTCACTACTATGTATCTCTCAGAACATGCCAAACCTCCAGATGTTTTCCTGCCAAATGAAGCATGAAGCTTCCCTCTGCCCCTGTGAAACAGCCAGTGCTGTTCCCAGTTGTCAAATGCAAACACAGGAGAATTTACAAAGTCTACCATGAGCTGAGCAGGGCTCCTGTCTGTAGGCACTGAGGGAAGGCAGCTCCCGAGTGAGAGCCACTGTGTTCCCCGGCTTCCTGCTGCTGAGGTCAGGGATGTGAGGAGGGAAGCCCCACTGTACCAAGGATGGCTTTTGCCAGAGACTGCCATCCATCCTGGAAAACAACAGCTTAAATGGAATACAACAGAAAGCTTCTGACCTGGATGCCCTAAGGAACACATAAGGAAACTATCCTTCGTTTCTGATGCAGGACAAGATTCTTTGCAATAACTGCTCTAGTTCTTCTTCTTCTACTTCTTTTGCCATGTTCTATTCCAGAACAATTTCTCCGCTCTGAGCATACATCCATTTTCTTGAAGTAAACCACAGAAAGCTAGAAAAGTATGTATGGTTGCATTAAAATGTGATATGGTCTCAAGTGTATATAGTCTTGCACTATTTGCATTAATTTGGATGGTTTTTACCCCAAACTCACTTCCAGGGCAACCCTAGTCAAGCCAATTAATGGATCTACCAAGTGTGTGGAGACCAACATACACTCATGCTTACCTGGTTCCTTTGTCAAGGGGAAGACATTTGGACTCATGTTGACATGGATTTAGCTCAGGAACACAGTGGTTAATCACCTCATCACACAGTTCACCTGAGACAAAAGAAAAAGCAATAAAGCTGTATCACAACTTGGACAATCCTGAAGCAGCTTGACTGTGATGTTCAGGGATGGCCAAACTTCCTAAATGGAGACAGTTCTGTTGTTCAGCTGGAAGTGACCATATTGCTTGAGGGTGCACGTGAGACTCCATTAAACTGGGCTTCTCTGACCTACAGTTACTGGGCTGTTTCTATCACATGAATTTGAAAGGCTGGTATAAAAAGTACTGACATATGAACTCCACTTGGAGACAGACTAAGGATCAAATGGGCAGTTCCTGACCCAGAACCTCTTATATCAAAGCAAGAAAGTGACACAAAAGTGAAGTTACTCATTAGACCGTAACATTTTCACACGGAAACATATTTTAGTTGTAGTTAAAACTCTGCCAAAGAAGGTGATTGGACATAATTCTGGAAAAGAACAACAACCCACAAACCCTCCCCCCAAAACCTCTGTGACTTTCAATAATAGGAACCAGCTTTAGGACTGCATGCAATTATAAAACATTCACTATTTATAAGAAAAGTACTAGCTCTATTGTGCTCACAGGAGATGATGTCTTTTCAGAAAAAAATCATCACATGTAAGCTCAGCTCAGCTGTTTCTAGGTATGGTGTATTACATGCCATGCACCTCCCTGGATTTGGATAAATTTTAATAATTAATAGTTCTAGAATGTTCAAAACCAGATAGTTTATTTAAATACCACCCTTCTCTGAGTCCTAAATTATTAGGTTACACTTCAGTAACCCAGGATTTGAGACGCAGCCAAAGACCACAGAAACCTTTGCCTTCCCAAGAAACCAACAGAAACCTACCCCACACTTACCAAAGCATTGAAGGGAAAGCAGAGGTCAGGTACTCTCAACACTGAAATTCCCAAAAGCTACAGTCCCAAAGTCCCCTGTGCAGCTATATCAGAAGGCCACATCTGCAGGGTTTCAAGGTTGTGGATATTTAGTGTGCCTATACACGAAACATACCATCACATGAGCAACAAGCCATATGGATAGTGTGGAAAAAAAGGATAATGTGGGAGGCACTGGTGCGCTGGCTATGAATTTTCATGAATCTGCTGCTTCACCTGCCTTGGGAGAAACTCCATTTTAAAAAATCCTTACACTTCTGATTCTAGTGGATACAGAGGAACAATTGAGAACATGAGTGAGCAAAGACCACCATTCAGATGGAAACTGCAAATCAGACCTGTCTGTCTTTTATAAGTCTTGTAATCTGGCAGGGGTGACTGAGAGCACAATTTTAAGGATGACTCTGGTGGTAACAGGTGTAGTTTAAGTTGTTAACACCCTCAGCTCACTCTTTCAGATTTTTTCTCCCACATTTTCAGCCTCCCTACAGTATAAGCTATGTAGCTCATTATTTGACTCTTCATATTAGAATGGAAGTATAATGCACATTAGCAAAAATTACTCCATTGTTGTTTGTTTCAAGCATGGAACATTTAATGTGTCTGCTTTTGAGAGCTGTAAAGCATAAGTGAGAAAGCAGAGCAAGAATACTAGTCCTGGAGGCATGACAGAGAGTACTACCAACATACACCCTGTGCTCATGTGCCATACATATCCTTTTAGTGGGCTGGGTTGGGCAATACCAGAGAAGTCCAGCATGGCAACCTGCAGTGGACAGTTTATTGTTCATAGGATCAGTTCATAAGACTACCAATTCTATCTGGAGCCAAGGAATCCCAGGAAGCCACCACTATTAAATTAATCCCTTTACAGCCCTGGAAAAATCTTGGGCAAATGTAATGAATATATCCAGCTGAGGAAGGAGGACACACCAATAAAACTGAATGCTGTAAATCCATGAGAACCAGAGAAACAGATCACTCACTGGAATTGATGTTTGCCATTTGCCATTGAGTACTTTATTACTCCTCAAAAGCAGCTAGAGATGTTCAAGACTTACAAATATGAACACAATGGTCACTAGGCACAGCTGTAGACTTGTTTTTGAGGTGGCAGAACTGGAGGTAGGTCTGCTTACTAAGCAATCCCCAAATCCACAGCCCACCAAACCTTGACCTCTGGGCAGACATGAACACCAGCAGGTCAGAACTTGCTCCTATGTATGGACAAATGTCAGTTTGTTGTCTTGGTATTCCCCATGTCCCTTGTGTCCTATGAATCTAATATGAAAATAAACAAAAACCCCACAACTGGCTGCTCACATTAAAAGAATGCAACAATCTAAAGCTGGAAATATTTCTGGAAGACTATTTAATCATTTAATAGCTGAACACAGTGTGGATAGATGCTTTCAACTATCCTTTCACTAAAAATGGTCAATACATTCTTTTGAAGTTTCTTTTTGTTTGTTTTGAAGAAAAGGAAACAGGCTTTAAAATAACATTAACATTTTCATAAACCCTCAAAGGAAATAATGATTCTTCTTAAAGTATTCTTCTCAAAAGTCTTGACAAGTGCTTAGTGATCCAGTAAAAATCTCCCCAAATGTCAAATATTATGACTCACTGTGTCGTTTTGAAGGCACCACTATCAAAATGTAGGAGAATTCTAGGCTAGGTACCAAACATAGCATCCAAAAACCGTATCGTTTTTCATGCAAAACTTGGAACGTTTCAGGATCCTTCCTGTTATTTTTCCCATCTATCACTCATTAGGGAGCTCACTTGGGAATGCCTTGCAACAAGAGCAGCCTCATCTCAAGAAGAAAATTATTCTTGATACATTATTTCAGGCTCCACCAATGTTAACTAGATGTTGCAGAAAACATGCCAGAGAAATAAAGCACTTTCTGAAAAGCAAAACCCAAGACACCAGCTACACAAAGACTTTCTCATGCTTTATTCACTCAGAAAATATCTGGGCCAAAAAATTTGCCCTCAGACCTGAGAGTGCAAAATTTAACGTCAGTATCAGAGGAAAAATCTGATCCTCTTTCTTTTTGGAGTGACACAGGGCTGCTTCTCTGTGCAGCAATTAAAGGTCTAGTCCAAATTTCTCATTGGATAGCTATGTGAACTTAAAACCAAGCTGGACGTTAATCTTAGGCCAACTTCGAGCAGCAGTGATTCTCTTTGCGGAAGATATTTGATCATGCTAAAACTACAGAAAACTTCAGTGCAATGCTTTCCCTAAGGCAGAAGACAATCCAGCCTCCCCATGTCCCTCTTTCCTAAGTATTCTCAAATTAGAGCTCCAATTTAGGCACACAAGGGTTTCTGAAGTGGTTATATTAAAGTCAGACATATTTCTTTAATAAACATTCTTAAACCCAAATAACTATTTTTGCTTCATCACAGCACTCTTGATCTCTTCCATCAAAGCAGAAGTGAACAGATCAACATGGACTGCACTCCAATGAAGAACAGGTTAAGAGTATGCCAGATTTACAAGAGGAAAACCACTCATGTAATCAGATTTTACTTGTCATAGAAGCCAGAGATATTAGGTCAATAATGTTCTGTGGGCTGTAGGCTGAGGTATAAGAGGAGGGTACCTTCACCAAGATAGGCATATCCTCAGCTCTGTGGGCACTTCTTAAGACTGGTGGTAATGTGCTGGTAATTCGTGCTTGTTTAGGAGAAGGATGCATTAGACAGATGAAGGAAGCAGTCTGATCTGCCACAAAAAGCGTAACTTTCAGATTAGAACCAAGTTGTAATGGCAGGTGGAACAGTAACAGGTGGATCTCCCATTGCTGCTCATGCAAAATCCCAAAACAATAGAGAAGGTATTCTGCCCCTGTGAAACTACTTCACTTGTCCCCTTCACCAGCATTGCTCATTGCTTTAAAAAAACAAACACAGCAACACTTTTTTTTCTTGGTATCGTGCAAAATTTTCCTGGTCTTGTTTTTTCAGCAAAATAATTATTTTCATGGGCCTTCCCAGAGTAACTTTTCACAGGACTCACTACTTATGAATAGCTGCCAAGAAACATGCTTAGGCTTTTCTGTAGCCTTCCACACATCTCAGAACTAAGCCAAAACAACAATAGAGCAGTAAAGATGACTTTTACACACAGTTTAATAATCATCCTTTTTTTTTTTTTTTTTTCCCGTTCTGTGCTGTCATGAGAGCTATTTATTTCATGCCACATTAGACTTTTAAAACCAGAATCCAAGTTACACTATTTCTCCTTAATCAGTAAAAGAGAGATTGGATGCAGTAATAGTATTTTACTTATTTATCTGTAAGTAAAACTGCAGTTCTGGAAAGACAATCTAGGCCACCCATTTGCAACCAATGAGTCTGATGATTTTTCATCTGTTTCATAGGCTAGTTGAGTGATACTTTCTTCTCTCATTCAGCGTACTCATGAAATAACTGATAAAGCAACATAGAAAATATTCACATCCTTAATGCGAGCAAAGCTTTTCTAGGGCCTGGAAGACAAAAAGCAAAAATGTTGTAAAGAATTTCACAATATTACTGGAGAAAAGGAAAGTGCTTACAGAAGAAGAAAAGATTAAGAATGCCTGGCTTTTATCCACAGGGAAAAACTTTTACAGGCTGCACAGGGAGGGGATATATATTTGAGTGGTTAAATAGTATGTTGCAATATTCTGAACTTTGCCAGGTAAGTCAGAATGGAACTCTTCTCTTTACTGCTAGTAAAAAATAATGTAATGTTTTTCTCATAAGAGATTACTCATTTTATATCTAATAACCTGTCTCGAATGAAATGTTTTTTGAATTTTTTTTCCCCCTTTCTCTTTTCAGTCATTAATAAGAACTGTGTCAGTGGGAAATTTCAGGAGAATACAGAAACTGGAAATAGTTGGGTGGAACAGACATAAGATGTTCCTCCAAGAAAATAATTCAGTTAGCAATGTTGTTGATGTTTGATTAAAAAGATTTGAGGCTCATCTTAGAAAATAAAAAAAATAACTTCTGACTTCTATACTGTTTCAACTTGCAATGAAGAAAAGCCAAACTCTGTGAAAATCCTTCATTAGCAAATGCACTTGGCTGCCATGTTAGATACCAAAACATGAAAGGA